CTTTATAGTTCCTTCTAAAACTTGATACTTATCATCACTCATTTTATCCTAAGTCCTATTGTTGTGTACCATAGAATTGTAACCAACCAACCCATAGCTAACTCTTTGGTGGGTTTTCAAAGACATTGGAGGAGATTGCCCATCCTTCTCCTGTAGAGCAGCTGATGGAGCTGGTGGTTTCAAACTGTGTGTCTTTGGGATTTCACTTAAGCTTCTTACCACTAGACTACAAGTGCTCCCTACTAGGAGAGAAATTTCTGTGTCTTACAGGTCTTGAAGGGAGTTCTGGTGGCCTAATGCAAGAAGCTGCACTACAATACCAAAGGCATACAGCTATTCCAGTGGCATGTGGTTCAAGGCCACCAGCTGCTCTGCAGGAGAAGGATGGGTAATCTCCTCCCATACAATTAATTGCCTCTGCAAACCCACTGGAGGGTCAGGTATGGGTAAATTCTGACTCACGGTACACAACACAAAATAAAATGGGCCTTGAAGTAAAATGGTCAAAATTTTCAGCAGCTAATTGAAAGGTTGGTAGTTTGACCTCACTAAAAACTCTGCTGGAGAAAGATGAATCAGTCTACTTCTATAAAGACTTACTGCTTGAGGCACCCTATGTGACAGTCTTCTCTGCCATATTAGGGAGCTTTGAGTAAGGCCAACGTTTCTCTGAGTTTACAGTGTTAATTCAGTGCTGAAACTTCTTTCTTCAGTTCGTGGACTCAAGAACATATCCTCTTCCTCCCTGACTACATGATGTATGCCTTTTTGTTTATCCAGACTGTTTTGTGCAGGAGAGAGAATAGAGAGACAAAACTTAATTGGAAAGCCTTTAAAAATCCACAAAATATTGACATTCCAAATGTTAGTTGAATGCACTTCTTAATAACAAAGAGAATCTAACACCTATTGAAATTATTCCTGCAATTCCTTTAAAATTATTCCCCAGCACTCTCTTCCTCTGGCTCTTCTCCTGGGAAGTATCGTTGGTTTTGATTCTGATTAGAGACTACCTGTGCTAGTGACTTTTCCACTGTCATTCTGAGATAAAGTCCTAAAGGCATTCTCCATAAATGGCCATCTTGCTTGGCCTCCCCTAAGGTAACATCCGATATCTGCATCAGACAGGCCTGCTTAGTCAGAGTGGCTAACGTGAATTCTTGACGTTTAGTGGTTGAAATCCGACTGAGTTCTCATCAAATCAATAGAAGCTTAGACATATAAGATACTCAGTGGATAGTGATGATCTTGGTCACATTGTCCTCTTAAAGGCTTCTGAGTATCTGTGTTTGTTGACTTAGACTTATTGATAGAGATAATGTCTGTTACCTCCTGATGCCTGATCACTCTGGATTCATTTAAGTGACGATGACACCATACTTCAACTTCTTTTACATATTCTGTGCTGCTTAGGATTCGTATTTCCCAAACATGGAGAGAGTGATCACTGTTGTTATTTTTTTTTTAAATCTTGGTAAAATTTAAAGAATAATGGTTACATGCACAGTATTCAGGGTTGCCAATAAACTATTTATAGAAAAGATTTCCTGTTTCTCCGACACAATCACCTTTTCTTGCATCCTGAGAAGATTTTTTTTCTATTCTTACGGAAATATAACCAGGATTAAATTATCACTGTATAATAAAAGCTTCTCTGTGTGAAACAGCTATTATATTGCCACTACAACCTACCACCTTCCATCATGAATCTGTCACCTTCCTTTATTGAAATAGAACACTTTTTCAAATGAAGAACCAGACGTTTTGTTTTGTAAAGAGGATTCAAGAAAAGATAACTATGTCAGGGTGAAAGATTAGGTTAGAAGAGGTGGCAAGCATATTTTACAATAGCAAGCATATTTCACAATAGCAAGCTATTTTACTATACTTAATTTCCCTCTTTGGCTTTCTAGTTGTCACATTTCAGGGTTCTGGTTGGAGGAAGCCATTGTTTTATCTCCATACTTTTTATAATACTCACTTATGTAAATAATGACAGCTCTTAGAACTATTTGGCAACTACCATTAAAATGTTTTGTGTTTCTTGGGTATTTTCTTCTTCAGCTTTCACTCTACCCTTATCAAGGATACTCTGTCCTTATTTTACGGTTAAGGAGTCATAGTTTAACACAAGACAAATAAACTCAAAATGATACTAACATATTCGTGCAACCAAGGTGCTCCTTTGACACAAGGATAGGGAAGTTTTATCTTACATATTTTGGATATGTTGTTAGAAGAAGCCAATCTTTGGAAAAGAAGATCATTCTTGAAAAGTTGAAAGGACAGAGAAATACAGGAAGACCCTCAACAAGATGGATTGTCACAGAGATTGCAACAATGGGCTCACTTACATCAGAATTAATGAGGATGACATGGGATCGAGCAAGGTTCAGATGTATTGTTCACTGGCTCACTATGAGTAGTAGTGAACTCGAAGGCACCTACAATAACAATTCTTGCAAAGAGAATAAAAATCACAATGAAATATTTTAAGTTTTTGCTATCGCATTTAATATGCTTTGGAATCACAAATTCTAAATAGTCAACCTATTTGGGACTTATTTTGAACCCCAGTTATAGTTCTTTTTCTTTCTTTCCATTTTGTTTATTTATTTCTTCAGTATGAGCAACAGAAAAGAGCTCTGGTGACACTGTCCAGACACTGTTGGCTGATTAGGTGATTAATAATTTGAACCCACTGGCTATTCTGTGGGAGAAATTGAGGCATTGTGCTTCTGTGAAGTTTTAAAGCCTTGGAAACCTTACAGGGCAGTTTTATATACTTTTTTTTTTTTATAGGATCCTTTGAATTAGAATCCACTAAATTGGAGTGGTATCTGTTTGTTTGTATGAGTAGTACTTTCCTGTTGCTTTACATGTGTATTTTTGCAGAACACTGGAAAACATAGAAAGCGTATTCTAACATGTTCAGGTTATTTGTTTCCAGACTTTCACTACTGATGCTTGTCAAGTTGTCTAAATATGAACTACATGGTTTGTCTCCCTGTAGATTCGAATTTGCTTCCATTTATGTGTTATCTAAAATAGACTAGCCCATCACTTATTATACGTAGGTTTGTACTTACCCTACTGGCAGAACCTTAGCTTGTCACTTGTTTAGGCTAATGATGTGTGAAGAAAAGTGACAAGTGATCAGAAACTAGTAAAGGTACTATGGAGTTGGTGTTGTTCTTTTCCATCTTCCAACATAAAGGCAGAACACATATATCCTCATTTTTTACATCAGAATGAAGACAAGTTCAATGAAGAAGTCAGGGCCAACAGCTTAGTTCAGTGAGCAACAAAATAATTTGTTTCAAAACATTGATATATTGAGTTTGTTTGTTACCACTACATAACTCAGCAAAATCTAATTGATATTTTGTTCTATTTCTTTTATTTGCAATACTCAGCATTGTTTTCTTTACTATCTGAAATATATGGATAGAAAGTAATCAAACAAATGTGGTCCAGTGTGAAAAAATAATTTATTCAGTGTAAAGTATGAGACAAAAGTGTTCTTTTTTTTCTTTAAAGAATTAAAAGTTCAATGTATGTATAAAATAACCTACAAAAGTATCACTAGTAAAGTTTTGTAGTCTCAAAAAACCAATTCAACATTTTCTTATAAAACACAATATAATATTTTATAGTCTAATTTCCCGAAAAATAAAGGCTACTAAATAAGAAATTCTTTGAATTTGCCTCTTCTAGAAGAAAGGATGCCTTTTTTTTTATTACCGTCTGTTTATGTGACTTTGGCAGATCTTGCTTCTGCAGTCTTTCTCTTTCCTCAGTCCTTCTCTATGGTTAATATTCATTATTTGCATATAAACATTCTTTTTTTTTTATTCTGGTTTTAGGCTTTATTCAAGGTTGAAGGCAAAATCTAAGGAAGTGATGTTCTTTTTTAAAAAATTTTCAGGTTTTTTAAAAATTTTTTTTCAATTTTATTAATTTTAATGAACATTTACAGAGATTTTGGATTTCCATTCATTCATTGTTGCACTATTTTCTCTATGCCCCCCCTCCCAGTTTGTTCTTTTTTTTCCCCTTGAAAGTCTGTCTTAACTGTCCCATTGCCACAGTGCTTGTCAAAACCAGTTCTGATTAATCTCCTTTGTCAGTGTATCCTTTGCCATTCCCTATCACTCCTCCCTGAGGAAAAGGGGACGGTGTATTCTCTTAGCTACTTTGTGAAAAGGGATGCTGTAGATTTCAGGGTGAAGATCTTTTCTTACTACTCTAAAGGAGCCCTTTGGCAATAGGAAGCATGTAAACATTCTTATATACATTCCAGTAAAATATTTTTTTCATTACACTGTTTATTTTACTTTTTTCTTTATTTCATTGACATGTTTCTTAGATCAGTATATTGGAGTTGCAGCAATTATTTGCTGAAGGTAAATAGTAATCATGAAGAACAAGATGAATAAAAGTGGAGATCAAAACTTAAATATTACTTTATTACATCTGTCAAGTAAAAAAAATTAAGAAAAATATCAGGATTTTAGGAATCTTTCATTAAGGTAATTGTGGAAAAAGAAAACTGAGTTGGAAAGCCCCATTGATTCTAGCATAAAATCTTCCTGAATGAAATGAAAGAACTATTATATTGTGAAGAAGAATGACAAATTCATCAGTTAATTCAATAATAAAAAGCAACAATCCACCTTTCCATGACTTTGATTTTAGAATTAAAATCCAAGAAATTAACAGAGGAAAAATATTTTAAAATTTCTTTATTTTTTAAAATATATGTATAAAAGAAAATATATGAAAAAAGGAATCATTACAATGAAATGATGAGTGTAATTACATGCATAAATAGTAGTAATTACTGACTATTTATTTTTGAAATTAGAATCAATTCATCATGTCCAGTCAATTAACCAAATTAAAATAGGTGAGCAGAAATGGTTTTGAAGTAAGAAAACTCTAGAATGGAGTTTTAACGTTTCCCTCCTTTTCCACTGCAGTGGCCCATCCCTCATATCTCATTGTATCTTCCCTAGTGAAATCACTTTGAGGATGGCCCGGCGAATCTGCTGGGTCTTGATGCTGTAGATGACTGGATTCATGAGCGGTGGGAAGAGCACAGAAACTGTGCCCATGAGGATGTGTACCAGTGGCGAGGTATGGCGCCCAAATCTGTGCACAACGGATAGACCTAGCACTGGCACATAGAAACAGAGCACCGCCAGGATGTGGGAGACACAAGTGTTGAGGGCCTTGAGTCGCTCCCCAGCGGAGGCAATGGCCAGCACAGTGTGGAGGATGATTGTGTAGGAGAGCAGGATGAAGAGCACATCGGAACCCATGGCCAGCATAATGATGCACAGCCCATAAAGCCTGTTGAAGCGAGTGTCAGAGCAGGCCAGGCGGATCATGTCCTGGTGGAGACAGTAGGCGTGGGAGAGTGGTCCTGGGTGACAGTAGTTAAATTTTAATAAGTGTAATGAGGGTGCAGCTGTGATTGCGGCACTTCGCAAGCCCAGTACAAGCCCAGCCAAGGCCACACGAGAGCCTGTAAGCACTGATGCATAGCGCAGTGGGAAACGGATAGCTACGAGGCGATCCAGAGCCATAGCAAAGAGCACAGCTGACTCCATGAAAAAGAATGAATGAAGGAAGTGCTGTTGCAGAACACAGGGTACCAGGCCTACTGTCCGAGCATCAAACCACAGAACACCTAGCACTGAGGGCAGTGTGGACATGCACAGGCCCAAGTCTGTTACGGCCAGGATGGCCAGGAAATAGTACATGGGCTGGTGAAGGGAAGGATCAGTTCGCACCAGATGCAAGATAGTGGCATTACCAAGGAGAGCCACAAGGTACCCTATAAAGATGGGCAGTGAAATCCAGTGGTGAGCCCACTCCAGTCCTGGAAAACCTGTCAGCATGAACGTAGAGAAGCTCAAGTTGGCACTTGGAAGGGTAGACATTCTCATTCTTAAGGAGCCTGTTCACTCTGGGAAAGGTAGCAGCATATTTGAAAGTTAATACTTAGCAAGCATATGGCCTCCCACTATCACTGAATATTCCCCCTCTGTTGGCTGATCTGTTTTCTCTGTACTCAGTGACCCCTCAGTTAACCACTATTATCACAAGTCGCCCCAGCTCTTTCCTTGTTCACTTCTCTTCTTATTCCGAAGTTGGTAGGAAAATTCCTCATGCAATCTACCCTCTATTGAATCTTTCTTATGATTGTAAGACCCTGTTGTGTGTGGGTGTACATATGTACATATGTTTTATTATGTTTTTTTCAAAATTCTATCTCTTCATATATCCCATTTGGAGACCTGATACAATTTGTAAATCAGGTAAACTTATTAAAATAATGTTTCTAGTATGTTGTTGTTGTTGTTATGTGCCATCGAGTCGTTTGCAACTCATAGCGACCCTATCTATGTACAGCAGCCCTAAACTCTGCCCTGTCCTGTGCCAATTGCACCCCAGTTACCCCAGTTACTAAATCAGTCCACCTCATAGAGGGTCTTCTCCTCCTGTGCCGTCCCTCCGCCCTCCCAAGCATAAAGTCCCCCTCCAAGGACCAGTCCCTCCTTACAACGTGTCCAAGGTATGTCAGATGAAGCCTCAGGATCCTTGCCTCCAAGAAGCAGCCTGGTTTAACCCTCTCCAGGATGAATCTGTTTTCTTAGCAGTCCATGGTACTTTCAATACTCTTCTCCAGCACCACAGCTCAAAGGCATCAATTCTCCTTCTATCCTTCCTAGTTATTGTCCAACTCTCTGATGCCTAACAAGTGATAGCAAAGACCATGGCCTGTACCAGATGCACCTTAGTCTCCAGAGTGACACCATTGCTCTTCAGTACTTTCGAGAGGTCCCTAACAGTACTTTCCCATCGCAATACGTCTTTGGAGATGTATTTATTGATATGTCTCTTTTGCAATATCTATACTAGAAACTGTGTACATCAGACTGTTTCCAGTATAGATACTACAAAAGAGTCATATCAATAAATACACCTCTAAATAGCAGCAAAGTAATGAAGAAAGACACTTACATGACAGTTATGCCCTGTATTCTAGTTACTTACATAATATTTGCCTTTGCAACTTGACCAGTAAAATAGGGGTAAAGAAGAGGTTAAATGACAGAGAGAATTGCATCACCGAGAAGAGGAAAACTGACAGCAGAAGACATGGGACAGTATGCTAGAGAAGAAATTGAAAACAATGAAGAGAAAAGTGAAGTAATATTTTGAGGGGGAATCTTAGGGCAAAAGGTCCATAAGGGTGAAGGAAATAATTTGAGCAATCATGGGATATTAAAGTCATGGTTTGAATCCATGCACTTTAACATCAGATCTGCTATTGTTAGCTTTTGGTAGTGTGATTTGTGCTTATAACTTAAATGTGGTGCCTTTCTGGAGGTTTGAAATCACCAGCAGCTTCTAGGAAGAAAGATGCTCATCTCTGTGTGATTTACTGTCGCTGAAAACCTACTTCTATAAGCCAGTTCAAACTCAGTGAGGTCGACTCTGAGCCAACTCATAGTTGACCCTCTAAATCATGACCCCAGTATTCTATTGTTGTTCGTGAAGATGTGCCAGGGCATGGGGACACACAAAGAGAGTGGGAAAGCCAATGAAAGAGGTCTCCTGTGTGGTAGTAAGAGAGGGAGTGGAGACAGAGTGAATGAGGAATTGGGAGTGTAGTGGTCAGACAAAAGGGGATTGAAAGGTGGAAGGTTTAAGAGTAGAAAAAGCAGAACATTAAAGAGTCTGAGGCCCTGAAAAGGGTCATAGAAGTTTTCAGAATATTTTGTTTAGTTTTATCTTCTCAAACCTATTGGTCATGGGGGGAAAAAATTCTAACTAGTTCCTTGGACCTTTACATAGATTCTTCAGTCATCTTCTATTTTTAGGCAATATTTTTAGATGTGTTCATTAACAGCTCACTCATTCATTGTTATCAAATCAGGGCCAGAGCTAACAAAGACCTGAAATTAAACTGCTTGGATGCAAGTCATGACGCCAGTATTCTGTGCTTGTTCAAATAACTTCCTAATTTCTGTTTGCTTATTTAAATCTTGTGACAATAATAATAGAGTCCCTTTAGGTTATGGATATGTTTCTATGCACTTAGATATTAGAACCATACACTAAATTGTTGTTATTGTTGTATACCATCAAGTCAGGGCCAACTCATAGCTGACCCTCCAGCGGGTCTTCAGAGGCTATAAATTAAATGGGAATTGGTTGCCCATCTTTCTCCTGTGGAGCAGCTGGAAGGATAAACCTGCGTATCTTTGAGTTGACAGTAAAATTACTTACCATTAGGCCACTTGATCTCCTATTAAATTATTATTTGCAGTTTCTAACACTACTTTCTCATTAAAAATTATCCATATTTGTCTACCACATGCCAGCTACAATTTTGGATTTTCCCCCCTCCCTGCTTTGTCTTCAGTAAACACTAAGAGAATGTCAGCAATTCATCTAGCAATAGTAAAGACTAAGAAACTGTTAGTAGGGAGCTCTGAGCTCTGAGCAGGTTTTAGACAAGTCAGTCATGGCACTCCTACTGCACCTTAACTACTTTCTATGAGTGAAGATTCTCACAATTTTCCTTTCCTTCTTTCTACAGAAGCTAGTTGAAGTAATGCAAAAAGAAATGTTAGAAATCTCTCAACTGGGAAGTTGTTGAGATTGTGATTCCTTCCTCATATCTCAGCCCAGCAACAAATTCAGATTCCTCTGTCCAGTAAAAAAAAAATTATGAGAAAATGTAATAACATAGGTCCCCTAAATGTACGCTGGCCGTCCTCTTGAAAGCTTTTCACTGATACCCTATTTACAGATCTTCTAGAAAATAGTTATTAGAGGGCACTAGTTTGATTGCTCTCTCCATAAACCAAATTGTTTGTATCAACTTACTGGTCTGTCTTTATACCTTTTCTGGCCCCTGCAGCACTTCGTACTCCTGTCACAGCCTCTTCATATGGATTCAGGACACAGCTCTGTGTTTGCTTCACTGGCAATTATAATATTTGTGTCTTTCTCCCTTGGGTCTCAAAGTCCTTACAGACATTTTCTCAGATAGCTGCCAACCTTTGCAGCACCATAGAGAAACCAGAACTCTCTCATCACTTTGCGTTTCCCAGTAATATTCTGTGGAAACTAAGTGGCACAAAAAAAAAATCACTATTTCGTGTCTTTAAATGACCTTTCCGTCATGTGCGATGTCTTGATGTCATTTCACGTTTTGTCTAGTCTTAAGTCACTAGTGTTTAAGGCAGCCAATCTATTTCTGAGGTGATCTTTAAATTTAATTGGAATATATTTAAGTTTCTTTTTTGCCTCCAGTTGGCTTGTTTTTCCTTTTTCAAGTTCCAATTGAACTTGCATATGAGCAATTAATGATTTGTTCACCAGTTGGACCCTGCCCTCATTTTGAATGATGATATTGAGTTTTCTACCACACTTTTCACCTTGTCTCCTGTGTATTCCTTCTGGTGAAGTCCATGTGTATAGTAGTCACCATTTATATTTTTTAAAAATTGTATTTGAAATGAAGAAGTCATTGGTCATATAAAATTTTACCCTGCAATATCTAATCTCATCTCTATCATCAAATACTTATTTTAGAACTACTGATCTATCTTTGCTTCAATTTTTAAATTTCCATTACCAGTTATTATTAGTGCACCTTTATTGCATACTTGATCAAGTGTAGACTTCAAAGTTTGGTTGCTGTTTTATGTACCATTCAATCTACTACTCATAGCAACGTAGCTTTGAATCCTGCTCTATTCTGAGTCAATCTCATTGTCTCTAACACACCTACTCTCATTACTTCAGTTATTCTGTCAATATATCACATGTGGGGTCTTCCTCTCCTGTGTTGTCACCTGACATTTCCAAATGATATTCTTCCGTAAAGATTGGTCCCTCCTGGCTACATGCCCACAATACATGAGACGGAGTCTCAAAATCCATCTCCAAGGAGAAGGTTAGTTTCACCATCTCCAGGTAGAGATCTTAAATCCCTGCATCTTTGTCTTTACTACTTGGTGAATAAATTTGAACAATAATCATATTAACATGCCTTATTTGTATGTGTATGTTGTACTATAATTAAGAACATTGCATATCATGATAGACCTTGAAATGTTCTTTTTGATGCCATTGCTCTTCATTTTATCATTTTCTACATAGTAGACCACATGATTTTACACTTAAAAATTTTTATTACCAGTCCATTTTGTGTCATACCATATCACACACAAGCTTTTAAAGCTGCAAACACTACTAGAATATTAAACATCATCTTTATCAAACATGTGTTGTCAATTGACCTAGATGTCTTCAGACATTATGATCCTTAGTTTTCAAGTCCAGTAATTGAGTTATGTGAGGTATTTAGTTACAACTAAAAACTTCTATACATGTGTTGCCACTGTGCTTTTTAGATAGAAAGATATACATGGAGTACATACAAGTACATAGAAAGATATACTCAAAGTGCAGAGAAGTAGTATGCTGAAATATATACAACTATCCCTAAAGAAAGAGCCCCGGTGGCACAATGACTAAAGAATTTTACTACTAACCAAAAGATCATTGGTTCAAATCTACCAGTCTCTCCATCAGAGAATGATAAGATTATTTGCTTCTATCTAGATGTACAGCTTCAGAAACACATTGGTAAATTCTACTCTGGGATTGTTATAAATTGGAATTGACTTCATGGCAGAAGGTTTGGTTTGTACTTACAGGTGGATGGTATACATTGTACAAACTGTTACATGTACTTAATGTAGATATCTATATACATTCACAAATTATTCATTGTTTATATTTTAACTCTATTTTTCATTTGCTATTTCACTTTCTTAGCAGGAAAGATGATCTTAAAGATTGTGTAAATAGGGTTGTTGTGGTTGTGTACCATTGAGTTGGAATCAACCCATCGTTGGCCTTCGAGGGGATTTTAAGAGGTAGTAAGTCACACAGGAAGATATTGCCCATCCTTCTTCCACACAGCAGCTTGTGGATTCAAACTGTGTGCCTTTGTTTGCATCAAGATCTAGGAGGTAGGAGGACAATGGATGCCAAGGCTGCAGAAGATAAAGCCTTAAGAGAACAGGGACCAGTGTAATAATCTCTTGGGAACCTTGTATGAAACAACTTTGTTGATTCTTCTAACTCTACAGAATTTTTTTCCCCCCACGTAGTTTCCTTTGCTGCCTGAGCAAGGATATGAGCTGATACCTGACTCTGAGATTATTACCAAGTGTGTTTCATATGGCTAGCCCAGCTTTCCTCTTAAACCAGTACATGCATATATTTTAGGTGCATGGACTAGTCTCCACTTTTGATTATCATCAATACCATCACCACCTCCTTGTGTGTGTGTGTGTGTGTGTGTTCAGGCAAGCAGAAGTAAAATACAAATCTAGGTCAGAAACCTGTTAACATTGACTTTCTATGTGCCACACTAGGGAATCCTGAGATCATCTATTGACTAAAGAAATAAATGAAAAGATGAGAGAATGCTGAGCTATCTAGGCAAGCTAATCTATCTTTTGTGGAGATAGGAGATAGATATTTATGACTTTAGAACTTTTTAATTTCTAAGAGTGTAAGATAGGAAATGCTATGTGCTTTCAAGTTGCCTGTGACTCATAGCCACCCTATGTATAACAGCTCTGAAGCCAGCTCTGACCTGAGCCAGTCTCACTGACCCCAACATCCTTACACCCATTGCCCCAGTTACTGTATCAGTCCATCTCATCTGGGATATTCCTCTCTAAGTGCTGTACCTGCATCCTTCTGGGCATGATGTCCTTCTCCAAGGTCTGGTCCCTCCTGACCTTTTACCCAAAGAATGTGAGACGGAGCTTCAAAATCCTAGACTGCAAGGAGAAGCTTGGTTTCATTCTCTCCAAGACAGGACTACTTGTTTTCTTGATGATCCAAGGTATGTTCAAGACTCTTCTCCAGAATACTCAGTTGGATTAATGAAATGAAGTTGGCAAGTTTCCTGCTCTATATCAGACTAGAGCAATGGTTTATATACAGTTTCCCAGGATGTGAGGTTGAGAGAAGAAATTCTTAGGAATCATTTTATAGTCATGATTGTTTTAACTAGAAGTGGAGGGTAGAGGAAGGAAGGCCTAGAAAGTTTGAATGAAACACACCCAGGAAAATGATAACAAAAAACCCTTTGATGAATGACATCCACTTGGGCTTCCTGGACAGAAAGAAGGGGATCTGTCCTAGACAAGAAAAGTTTTTATTTTTAGCTTTGAACTCTATATTGTTCATGCATACATTAATTCAACATTTATTTATTTTCTTCTACAGGGCAAACACTGAATTTATGGGAACATAATGGTGAACAAGGCATGTATAATTTTCCCCTAGTACCTTATTTCAAAATAGTGTACTCTGAATGACTAAAAGGAAAAAAAAAACACAAAACAAAACAAAACATAAAAACCTAAACAAACCCCAAGTATTACATTACTATGTTACTAGTATTACAATGAGAAATACTTATGGCAGCAGATGGAACATCTCAACTAGTATTGAAGAAGGAGTCTTTCAGTGTAAGAGTTCTATAGGAAACAACCTCAATGCTGAGACTTCAACATGAATTGCATCTAAGCAAGGTTAAGTGCATACTGGTCCATTATCTCTAGGTTCAACTCTTTTGGTGAACAGGAGTCTTACTTAAACATGCTTCGTGGTAGTTCCCTTTTTCACATTTGATGTCATTATATAAGATATCACGATTAAAACACTGCCTTCAGCTTAACATTATAACTCAGGTTTGAGAACTCAGGAGTCCATTGGCAATGTGAAAGCAGAAAGAAGGGTATTGGGAAGAATATTAAACATCTTCTAGAAGAACATGTGTTAGCAAATCCTGAGAAAAAGTGGAAGAGTTCAACTTGAGCCATGTATGGAAGCAGAATGCAGGGGTTCTTGTGTGGCTCAGAGGTTCTAAGGAGATTGGCTTTGCTAGGACAGGAAGGCAATAGAAAGAACTGTGGCCAGGTAGCAGTCTCAAGACACCATGGATGGAGATACATTTCTTAAGGTGAGTTAGGGTAATTGACATTTATCTGTGTTGTATTAAATTCTGCTCTATATTATTTTAGCTTATTTTTTCTTTTCATTTTGTTGTTGTTTTGTTTTATTTTCTTTTTGAGTTTTAGTATTAGTTCATATATACTTAGATACAGTGTTAACAGTTTTCTTCAGGCACTTTAGATGTTCCCAAGTCTCAAAATGGGGAAGAAATTATGATTTAAACCAGAAATGTTGTTATGTGCCGTCGAGTCGCTTGCGACTCATAGCGACCCTATGTACAACAGCCCTAAACTCTGTTCTGTCCTGTGCCAGTCACATTGTCTCCGACACTCCCATCCCGATTATCCCAGTCACTGAATCAATCCACCTCATAGAGGGCCTTCCCCTCCTGCGCTGCCCCTCCACCCTACCAAGCATGATGTCTTTCTCCAAGGACCGGTCTCTCCTCACAACATGTCCAAAGTATGTTAGGTGGAGCCGCAGAATCATTGCCTCCAAGGAGCCACCTGGTTTAACCTTTTCCAGGACGAATCTGTTTGTTTTCCTAGCAGTCCATAGTATTCTCAATACTCTTCTCCAGCACCACTGCTCAAAGGCGTCAATTCTCCTTCTATCCTCCTTGGTCATTGTCCAACTCTCTGATGCATAACAAGTGATTACAAAGACCATGGCCTGTATTAAACGCACCTTAGTCTCCAGGGAGACACCATTGCTCTTCAATACTCTGGAGAGGTCCCTAATAGCAGACTTTACCATGGCAATGCGCCTTTTAATTTCCTGGCTGCTGGTGCCAAGAGTGTTGACTGTGGAGCTAAGCAAACTAAAGCTGTGTACAGAAATATTAGAACTACTAAATCATCACTTAGGAAAGAATTTAATTTTTTGCTTTATTTAGAGAAGTGGAAAAAGGTTAGAGAGCACAGAGTATGATAATAGGCATTTGTTACAAATTGCATTGTGTCAGCTTTAGTGTTATAATACTAACCTCAGTGATATTAAGGATCTAGAATTAATGGGTGCTATTTTAATGATCCAGGTTATAATCTATACAATAAGGTTCTGTATTTTGAGTCAATATCTGTTGAGATATTAAAGATATTTCAAAGGTAAGCAGAGACAGAGAAATTTAACTACCACCAAGAAAGGAACTAGTAGTCAAGCTCATTCTTTGAAATGAGGGTATCTGCCTTGAGAATCTTCTAGACCAAGGAGAAGATTGGTACTATTGCACATGTAGATCTCTAGTATTTGCAAACCCATAGGTATTGAAAGGATACCAGGCCCTTTCCCTAGAGCTGAGAGAGAAGCAAAACCTTTTCCTATAGAGAGCGCCTCAAATTTAGCATATAGCCTCTTAAACTGTAAGACAGTAAGTATTGGTTTGCTTTGTTTTTTTAAAATAAATTTTTCATTTTATACTGGTTTACTTACAAAGTTCATATACATTGTTTTTCATTTGGGATCTTGCCCATATCCCTTCCCTTCCCTCCCTCCTCCCTCCAACCATCAAATTGTGTGACCTTATGATTATCCCCCTCCCCCGCCCATCTTCATCCCTCTACTCTTCCCTTCTCCCTCTTAGATCCTCATAAATGTTTTACTAATTATATATTTATTCGATAATGGCCTTATACAGTATTTGTCCTTATGAGACTGAGTTAGTTCACTTAACATAATGCTCTCCAGTCCCTCCCAAGTTAGGTCGTAAATTTTCGAACACATTGTTCTGCATGCTACGCAGTATTCCATCATGTGAATGTACCATAATTTCTCAATCCATTCAATGGTGTTTGGACATTTAGGCTGTTTCCATGTTCTTATGATGGTGAATAATGCTGCTATGAACATTAGTATGCAAATCTTCTGTGTCTGCTTGTTTAAGACATCCACCTGTGGTGTTCACATTACAGCTGCACTAGATATCTAAGATAGCCCTGAATTCTTTAAATCCATGAACTGATTAGGGATTCCCCCACCCCCATATACCATAATTGGAAGCAGGAATGTCATCCACTTCCTAAACAACGTGCCTCTAGAGACTCTATGAACTTTGATAAATATTGATAGCTGTAGAGGGGCTGCAGGCCTTCTGTTCATATGATCACTATGAGTCGTGCTTGACTCAAAGGCAATCAACATAACAAAAACATATACCATAATGTAAGTTTTAGCCCCAGGATTCAGTATTGCTCTTTCTAAGTCCCAAGTACTTGATAATGGTACGGCGGATCTCCTTGGTCTTAATACTATAAATGATTGGGTTAAGCATGGGAGGTACAAAGAGGTACACGTTGGCCATGAAGAGGTGGACAGCAGGCGGAGCATGTTTCCCAAAGCGGTGCACCAGGGACAATCCCACCATGGGCACAAAGAAAACCAGCACAGCACAGAGATGTGAGGTGCATGTTTGGAAAGCTCGAAGGCGCTCTTCTCGGGAGGCCAATCCTGCCACTGTTTTAAGGATGAGCCCGTAGGACAGTGCAATCAGCACCAGATCTAGCATTACAGTGAATACCACCACTCCCAGCCCATATAAGTTATTAAAAGTAGTGTCTGTGCAGGCCAAGTGTATCACTTCCTGGTGTAGGCAGTATGAGTGAGATAGGACTCGGGAACCACAGTAGGGAAAATATTTCAGTTTGACGACAAGGGGAACAAGGGCTACAGGACCCCTGAAAATTACAACCAGACCAATTCTAACTACTCGCTGACCGGTGATTATGACTGAATATCTTAAGGGGTGGCAAATGGCCACAAAGCGGTCGAAAGACATGACAAGGAGCACTGAAGATTCCAAGAAGGAAAAAGAGTGTATGCAGAACATCTGGATTTGACAGGCTACAAAGTGGATTCCATGGTAGTTGAACCAAAAGATCCCCATAGTGCTGGGCAAGGTGGACACCGACAGTCCTAGGTCAGTGAGGGCCAGAAAGGACAACAGATAGTACATGGGTGTGTGTAGATGATGGTTGGTCTTAATGATTATCAGGATGAGACAGTTGCCCGAGATGGCCACCAGGTACATAAAGAAAAAGGGAATGAAAATCCAATGTTGTACGGCCTCCAGTGTAGGAAAACCAGTGAGATAAAACATAGGGCTAAATAAAGTGATGTTGGATGAGTGCTTGAACTGAGGACTGAGGAGATATTGTATTGGCATTCCTCAAGGACTGAGCTGAAAAGAAATAGATATTTCTGATTATTCTTCAATTTTGCTAACACTCACATTATCATAAACAACATCATAACCATCATAATATACTTTGATCCACTATTATCGGTGCTGCCACCATCATTAACTTATGGACATTTTCTTTCCTATATAATTTCCATTTCCCCCGCCCCCAGTCTCCTTTGCCAGTTTTTCTTCTTTGCTTATCCTTAAACATGTTGTTATGTGCTGTCGAGTCTCTTGAAACTCATAGTGATGTTATGTACAACAGCTCTAAACCCAGCTCTATCCTGTGCCAACCTTATGTTCTCTGACACACCTACTCCCATTACCCTAGTCATTTAATCTATCCATCTTATCAAGGATTTTCCTCTCCTGCTCTATCTCTCTACCCTTCCAAGCATGACATCCCTCTCCAAGGACTGATTGCTCCTTGCAACATGTCCAAAGTATGTCAGACGAAGTTTCAGAATCCTTGCCTCCAGCAGCAGCCAAGATTCACCCTCTCTAGGATGAATCTGTTTGTTCTCCTAGCAGTCCATGATATATTCAATACTATTCTTCAGCATCATAACTCAAAGGCATTAATTTTGTTTTTTACCATCCCTAGTCATTGTCTAGCTTTTTGATGCATAGAATGTAATTGAGAAGACTGTGGCCTGGATCAGGCACACTTTAGTCTTCAGACTGACGTCATTACTCTTAAGTACTTTGGAGAGGTCCCTGACAGCAGACGTTCCCAATGCAATTAGTCTTTTGATTTCCTGTCTGCTGGTACCAAGTGTGATGATTGTGGAGCCAAGCAAACTGAAGCTGTCAACAATCTCAATCTCTTCACCATATATCATGATGCTGCTAATTGACCCAGTGGCGAGAATCTTTGTTTCCTTAATGCTGAGCTTCAATTCATATTGATGGCTGCAGTCATTGACCTTTTGCAGCAAGCATTTCAGGTTCTTCTTAGTTTCAATAAGCAGGGTTGTGTCATATGCATAACACAGATTGTTGATGAGTTTTCCTCCAGTCCTGTTGCCACATTCCTCTTCTTAGAGCTCAGATAGCTGTCCCAATTCTTGGTTGCTTTCAGGTCATATCTTGTAATCTCTCCGCAAGCAAAGTCATCCATTCTCATGTATTTGGTTATCATTCATATATTGATAAGTATTATATGCATATGACTCTAGCACTTCTCTTTTGATTTCAAGAATACTATATTTAACACATACTCATCTACACATACATTTCAGTTACCTCTGAAGCATATAAAAATTTAACTTATTCTCAGCAACCTTCTATTTTGTCTATATTCATAACACCTAAGTAAAAGATTAAATTTCATAATTGACCTTTCCATATAACACCTCTGCCCTATGCTGAATCCATTACTTATCAAATCTGCAATTTTAACTACTAAATATGCACTCACATAGCATTATCCTCACTGTTGCTGCCCTACTTCAGATCATTGTACCTCTACCTAGATAAGTCATTCAGCTTTTAATTGCACATCCCTAATTTGCTTACTATAATGTAAGCAGGGAATACCAGAGGAATGTCTATCTGTGTTTCATTGACTATGCAAAGGCATTTGACTACGTGGATCATAACAAACTGTGGCTGACTCTGAGAAGAATGGGAATCCCAGAATACTTGATCATGCTAATGAGAAACCTATACTTGGACCAAGATGCAGTCATCAGAACAGAGCAAGGAAACACTGCATAGTTTAAAACTGGGAAGGGTGCATTCCAGGGTTGTGTCCTGTCTCCATACTTTTTCAACTTGTATGCAGAACAGATTATCCAGAAGGCTGGGCTCTCTGAGGAGAAATGTGGATCAAGACTAATGGAAGATCTATCAACAATCTGCGTTATGCAGATGACACAACCCTGCTTGCTGAATCTGAGGAGGACCTGAAGCACTTGCTGCCGAGGGTCAAGGACTGCAGCCTACAATATGGATTGAGGCTCAATGTCAAGAAGACAAAAATTCTCACCACTTTGCCAACTGGCAGCATCAGGATGGATGGTGAAGAGACTGAGATTGCTCACAGCTTTAGTTTGCTTGACTCCACAGTCTACACTCTCGGCACCAGCAGCCAGGAAATTAGAAGACATATTGCCATGGGAAAGTCTGCTGTTAGGGACCTATCCAAAGTACTGAAGAGTAATGGTGTCTCTTTGGAGACTAAGGTGCGTCTGATACAGGCCTTGGTCTTTCCTATCACTTGTTATGCATCAGAGAGTTGGACAGTGACTAAGGAGGATAGAAGGAGAATTGGTGCCTTTGAGCTGTGATGCTGTAGAAGAGTATTGAGAATACCATGGACTACTAGGAAAACAAACAGATTCATCCTGGAAAGGGTCAAAGCAGGCTGCTCCTCGGAGGCAAGGATTCTAAGGGTCCGTCTAACATACTTTGGACATGTTGCAAGGAGGGACAGGTCCTTGGAGAGGGACATCATGCTTGGTAGGGTGGAGAGACAGCAAAGAAGGGGAAGGCCCCCTATGAGGTGGATTGATTCAGTGACTGGGGTAATCGGGATGAGTGTGTCGGAGACGGTGCAATTGGCACAGGACAGAGCAGAGTTCAGGGCTGTTGTACATAGGGTCGCTATGAGTCACAAGCGACTCGATGGCACATAACAACAACAACAACAACAACAATGTAAAAGAAATATTTACAAAAGAAATTTTGGATGACATTAAAATACTTAAAATTATATCAAGATCTATACCGATCTTATTATTCCTGATTATACTTCTATTCAACTCTATCTTCACAGTCTTCTTTTTCTTTTAAAGTGGCAATAACATTAAACAATTTTACTAGTTTCTCCATTTCCTTTTTTCTGGAATGAAAACTATTCAACTTGGCATATACCTATGATTTTATTTTATTAATTTTTGTGTGTGTACTGTCAAATCAGATCCAACTGATACATAAGGAGATTGCTGCTCTTGTCCATTGGAGCATCTGATAGATTTGAACCATATACCTTCATGATTGTAGTGGAGCTTCTTGTCACTAGGCCACCAGAAGGCCAAACTTGTCATATATTTATCTTATTCTTTGTCTACCTAACCCCTATATACACATCTTTTGCATCTTAGACGTTTTCTCCTTTTAAAAATATTAGATTTATCAAATTAATAGTATCTCTTCTATGTGATCTTTTTACAGGCTATATTGTCATTACCAACACATTTCTCTCTCTCTCTTTTTGTTTTAGTATCTACTGTAAATTGTAAACCTTTTGTGGAGAGAAACAAGATACACCTATTTTGTTGTTTATTTTACTTTAGCTATTCAGATTGGTTTAGTGATCAACATCACTTTATGTTTGTTGCATGCAAGATTACTGGTGTATGTGTGTGTGAGTCTGTGACTGAATAATACTCACCTGTTGTCCTGATTGGTTGTGGCTGGTATCCTGTGCAACACCTCCTTTCTGCTGCCTTCAGAACGTCAAGAATGACAAGGAAACCGATCTATGGAAACAAGGATTCTCTGGGAGACAGAAACAGGGCTAGGACCATTAATTCTGCAAAAGAAGTTCCAATGAGTTTCTCATGAATTAAAAGACTAGGAAAGAAACTGAGAATTTTATTTATTAGCACAAGTCTAATGATATTATTATGACAGCAGAACACTATGATGAGGTCTGTAAATGGAATTCCTGAAATGAGCACTAAACTTTCTACCTTATCTATGTTATAACTATTCTTTTAGTTTGATTGTAATTGCTAATTTTTTTAAAGTAAAAGTCATTGTGGTTGATTCAGAAGCAATTCATATCTAACCCTCCTACATGTTTTCATAGGCAATAAATAAATAGAGTGTTCAATAAATAGAGTGAGCAAAACCTGAAAAACTGGGCAAAAAACTAAGCAAAACCAAATTAGAACATTTAGAGAGACATGGACTTTCAGTTAGCAGCACAACTCTCTATGGATAATGACAGCTGGGCCTCCTAATTTAAAGGTGATCAGTTCAAATACACTAGCAGCTCTGCAGGAGAAAGGCAGGCAATCTCTTTGATGTTTTACAGCCTCTGAAAACCTGCTGGAGGATTAACTATGGGTCTCCTCCAACTCCATAGTGGTGAGTTGAAGTGAGTTAATTGTTTTAAATGAACAATCTGTGGAATCCACTGGTTATAATGTGTATAAAATTATGCAAGTAGTCATGCTTAAGCACAAAGGCATTCTACCCATACCTCGCTCTTGAACAAGGAACATTCAGAAAATTTTGTTGTGGTTATGTACTGTCTAGTTGGAACCAGCTCTTAGCTGAGCCTCCAGCAGGTTTTCAGTGGTGGGAAATCACATGGGAGGAGGAGATTGCCCCTTTTTCTCCCATGGTGCTGCTCATAGATTTGAACCTCATACCTTTATGTTGGCAGTGCAGCTCCTGACCAGTAGGCGACCAGAGCTCCCCCATTACCCCAACAGTAATTTCTATATGTGTCTCTTGTGAGGATGGAAGAGAACTTTGGAAGAAAGAAGGCAGAGTTCTCACTGAAATCTCACCCTTGATTATGTCCTACAGAAAGTCTAGTTAGGTATAGGACAACATCAAAAATACTATTGTTACTACCAGCATAATAATTGTTTGGAGACATCTATTACATACAAGATAGAACAACAATTATGCGTGCAATAATATTGGGGGTTAAGATATACCATGAAAGTGGAAAACAAGGTAAAAATAAACAAACCCACCTGTACTGAGCAATGAAAGTAAATATGAAGTGAGTATGCAATAGAGATTCTCCAGGATAAGGAGGATAGCATGAACACAGACATAAAGGTGAGAATCATTTTTAAACAACTGTAATATTTGCTAATACTCAAATACCAAATTTGAGATTAGAATGAGATTGTAAAAGTAGGCGAAGATAACTATCAATAGTTTATATG